AAGCCACCTTGTGGCGTACAACTCAGACCCTCGGCCTTATAATCATGAATCAGCACAATACCGCTACGGCGTACAGCCCGATCCCATAATAACCTCACAACACAGGCCCCCGACCCTACTCAGTCAGAAATCTCTATAAGCCACTCGGGCACAGTAAAATATGATGCTCAGCTCAAAATATCATTTAAGATGTCAAACAGAGTAAACATGGCTGAGTTATGAAAACAGTAGAATATGGCATGACTGAGTACAAGTATAAAGTCAAAACAATGAGGAATAGTAGTAAAAATCCCCTAAGAGTCTAAAACAGTTAGCACGAGGCCCAAATATGGCATTCAACCCAAAACATAATGATAGCAATTAGTTTTCAATCAAATACGCGGTAAAACAGTCATACGGGACAGACTAAGTCACAATCCCCAATGGTGCACGACCCCACGCTCGTCATCTATCGTGTGCGTCACCTCAAAGTAGCACAATGTTGTGAAATCCGGGGTTTCAAACCCTCAGGACCACATTCATAATCATTACTCACCTCTATCTGGTCCAAACTCTAGCCCGCGATGCCTTTGCCCCTTGAATCGGCCTCTGGATGCTCCAAATCTAACCAAAATCAGTACATAACAATCAAAATATGATAAGGAGACAAACCCCACTCGAAAGAAATCAAATTACAACAAAAATTCCGAAATTAACAAAAACCCGACCCCCAGGCCCACGTCTCGGAATTCGATAAAATTTACATCAATAAACTCCTTATCCTCCCACGAGTTCATCCATATCAAAAGTACCAAAATCCGACCATAAATGGCTCCTCAAATCCCCACTCAAAGCTCTCCAATATCTAGCCCTAATCCCACAATTTTCTTCCTTAGTTTCCACTAATACCATGACTAAACAATGGAAAAATGGTCATAAACCCAAATAATGAAGCTTAGGAAACTTACCCAACTGATATTCCTCGATTTCCCCTTGAAATTCACTGCCTGAGCTCATTTCTCGTCTTCAAAAATGGAGAACTTAGCAAAACTTTGCGAAGAAAACTATATATACTTTTTGACCCACGTCTTTCGCACCTGCAGTCTCCTTCCTCTGCCTCTGCGCTACCGCTTCTGCGGTCAAATGCACCGCATCTACGATTCGCACTAATGCGCCCATTTCCACATCCGCGATCAAGAAGCAGCACCTGCGCCATCATAGGTGCGATCGAGCAACCGCTTCTGCGGGCCCAGCCCCACATGGCCAATTCCGCATCTACGACCAACTAGGCGCTTCTGAGAGCCCGCACCTGCAGTCCCCTAGCCGCAGGTGCGGTTATGACAGCAATGGGAAATCTTCAGCTGCCAAGAATCAAACTCAAATCTTCCGTCAACCATCCGAAATCACCCCGAGTCCCCAGGGACCTCAACCAAAAGCACAACCAAGTCATATACCACTAACCAAACTTATACCAATCTTTAAAACACCTCAAACAACATAGAATCAACCAAATCACATCGAATCAAGCCTAAGATTTCAAAATCTTACGAATTCCACTTTTGATCATAAAGTCTATCAAACCACGTCCGAATGACCTGAAATTTTGCACACACATCCCAAATGACAAACGAACCTGCGGCAACTCCCGGAATTCCATTCCGACTTATATATCAAAATCTCACCTATCAACCATAACACGCCAAAATTCCAACTTCCCAATTCAAGCCTAAATCTACTCCGGACCTCAAAAACACGTTCTGATCACACTCCTAAGTCCCAAATCATCTCCCGAAGCTACCCGAACAATTGGAATTCACATCCGAGTCCTATTTCACATAAGTCAACATCGGATTGACTTTTCCAACTTAAGCTCACTCAAAAGAGACTAAGTATCTCAAACCTCACCAAAATCTTTCCGAACCCAAGCCACCCAACCCGATAACACATAATACCGATCAACAAAGTAATAAGAAGAAAAAATGGGAGAAACGGAGCAGTAACTCATGAGACGACCGGCCGGGTCATCACATCCCCCTAACCAAGCAAAAGTATACCTCACAATCACAAATATTAGAATCAACAACGAATGGAATCTTAGTAAAATCTCCCTCAACACTCCAACTGAAATACACCAAAGATTTAATTCTATATTTTTACTCCCAGATAGTACTAAAGATACCCTCATATGGGACATTAATAACGAGGGATCTTTTACTACAAAATCTCGCTATGATCTTATTGACAAGGAACCTCCTACTATAACGAACTTTAGTTGGATATGAAAATTTTACTGCTCTAATAAAATCAATTTTTTCATGTGGCTTTCATACCAAAATAGGATACCATGTAGAAACTACCTAGCTCATATAGGTATGAATATTAATGACCAATGCACAATCTGCTGTAAGGAGACGGAGACAATTGTTCATATTTTTCTCAAGGGTACCATTGCTCAAAAACTTTGGGGAGAACTAGGTATTGACATGAATAACTATCACCCAAATAGGGACAACTGATTATTATACCTTCACGAGAAGAACCCCTCCTTATCCAACAAACACTAATCATGGCAAAACCTATTTCTTTTCATAATATGGAATTTATGGTTAAATAGGAACAATAACAATATCAACAACAAGACCAATAGCGTCTCATTAAAATGGATCATGAACCAAACCACTGAGTATAAGCTACTCACGGAGTGAGAAACTAACTTGGATAGGAAGATTTCTATAAAATTTCATTGGTTACCACCCGTAAATGATGTTATAAATTAAATATAGACAGAGCCTTCAAAAAAGGAGACACAAGTGGTGGTATAGGAGGTGTTTTTAGAAACCCAAAAGGAGATTGGATTTTAGGATTCCAAATGAAATCTTTCTCAAGAGCTCCAGTCCACACAGAACTCTAGGCCCTCTATCAAGGGACACATACCTAAGGAGAGAAAGTTATATCCCTTCGAAATAGAAATGGATGCCACGTAGGTAATTACTTATATCACTGATGGCCCTTTAACTTATGACACTATCATTAAATCTTGTAGGTTGTTAATATCCGGAATGGGCATGTGGTGATCCAACATAACTTCAAACAAGGCAATGAAGTAGCTCATCTTTTGGCAAAGCATGCAAAGAATCTTACTGTTTCCAATAAAATATGTCTTTTGTCTATTCCTCCACCCTATGTCATAGCCAGGATGCTGGCGGACAAGGAATAAAATAATTATGTAAAAACTATCTCTATTAATACTTGTAGACATCTAGTAAAAGTTGGTAATTAACATGCAATGCATAGATTATCAGCCTCTTGTACTGATCCCCAGGATCATAATTATTGCACACCTTAACTGTTGTCAAATAAAATTGTCCGGTTTATCAAACAATAACCTCTTCTACACTTATATGAATAAGAATTTGCAATATATATTCCTACTATTAATAGATGACAGTAAGAAGCTCTTCGTCGTCCTCCTTCCGGGTCATTTCTGAAAATTACTTCGCATAATTTGCTTTGGTTGACTGGTACTGTTATGCTAGATATCACTCATTGGTTCATTTTTTCGGCTACTGTTGTTGCTCCATAAACATTTTGCTTTGAAGACAAGTTTGATCTTTGGGTCCCATATTTTTCAACTGGCACAAAATGAAGGAGCTGTAAATGATTGATTTATATTGCCCTTGTGTCATTTCTCTGCTTGGCCAAGTGTGTGAGTCAACATAGTAGTCATCACCAGAGCTTTTGGTATTACTGTTTTGTGAATTTTTTACTTTCGCCTTTTCATACTTTTCTGGCTCTCTACACAACTGCCGTTGGATTTGAGGTGCTCTTTCCCCTTCTTTTTTTTCCTCATTTTCATTGTTCTTGCATTGTTTTCTTGTAAGGTTTCGGCCGAGGTCGCCGTGATTTTTTTTTAATTATTCTATTTTTCTTTGTGTTGAGGCAATCGGTGTGCTTAGAGCGATCTTGGTTAGTTTGGTTCATCTCCTTTCTTTTCTCTTTTTTGGTTGCTTAAGTCCAGTTACTCAGTAACCTCAAAATTCAGGGAATTCAAAAGTGGCATATTAAAGTTGATCTGAGTATATATATTTAAATGCAACTCTTATATTATTTCCGATTATTCTTTTTTTTAATGTACTAATATTAAAATTGGCCCTAAAAGTACAATGTCGCCTAGCCTTTAATAAATTTTCCACGCAGCCACCATCTAAGCAATATGTATTTCAAAAAATTAAGATTAAGTGGAGTAAAGAAAGGTTTCAACTGTGATGAGTTTAACCGTAGTGCACTTACAGATTGAAAGTTTCCTATGTTTGCTATGTGTTTGAAAAATTATAAAAGAAGAAGACAAAATTTAGGAATTTTCTCTGTGTCTTCCATTGTGTAATCATCAGCCTATATATACAAGTTATCCTGTCTAGAAAGAATAAAAGAATGTACACTTGTCTAAATCCTATATGTTGTTAGAATAACTAACTAACCACTATTATTCTTTACAATGCTTATTCACATATCTCACACATGTGAGAATAATCTGATGAAAAAAACAGAAAAAGAAAAATCCTCTAATCTGGAAGGTGAGGATTTGATCTATCATGTGCCATGTGATTTGCTGAGGGAGCTCCACGTGTGAATTCTAATTGTGTAAAAGAATCCTTCTTATTTCTAGATAACTCCGAAGACCTTTGCTTTGTCTGAAAACTAGTGTCTTCTTCTTCTTCTTCTCCAATTGAACATTCCTTTCCCTTATTTCTCTGATCAATTGAGGGAAAATTAGAGGCGGAATTAGATAGTGAGTAGTTCTTCTTCTCAACATCCCCCCTCAAGTTGGAGGGTAAATAAGTTACCCCCAATTTTCATAGAATGGAATTGTGGGAAGGTCCAAAAAGGGGTTTAGTGAACAGATCGGCTAATTGAGAGGAGGATGGAATAAAGGAAAGAGAAATGAGACAAGAGAGGAACTGCTGCCGGACAAAGTGGCAATCGAGTTCGACATGTTTTGTGTGTTCATGAAAGACGGGGTTTCAAGCAATATTGATGGCTGCTTTACTATCGGAGAAAACAAGCACTGGCAAGGAAAGAGAGATGGAAAGATCATCAAGTAGACGAGTAAGCCAAGTTAATTCTGCCACAACCCGATGCATTGAACGGTACTCTGCCTCTGCAGAGGAGAGGCTGATGGAGTCTTGCTTCTTAGACTTCCAAGAAATGGGAGAATCACCAAGAGAGATGAAGAAACCAGTCACAGAGCGCCTAGTTTCAGGACAAGACCCCCAGTCTGCATCACAAAAAGCAACTAAATCAAGAGAAGGTTGAGAGTTCAAAATAATTCCCTGGCTTGGATTGAGATTGAGGTAACGCAGTACTCGGAGAGCTACGCTGAAGTGAGAAAGGCGAGGACTTTGCATAAATTGACTGAGCTTGAGAACAACAAATGACAAATCAGGTTGTGTGTGTGTGAGGTAATTTAGTTTACCCACAAGATGTTGATACACAGTGGGATTTGGAAGAAGAGGCCCTGTATCAGAGTGAAGTTTTTAAAAAGGTTCCAATGGAGAAGACACACGGGAAGTTGCTGCAATCTCAAATTCTTGGAGCAGATCTAAGGTGAATTTCCTTTGATATACAATTATACCTTCTTTTTCTCGCAATATTTCCATGCTTAGAAAATAATGGAGGCATCCTAGGTATTTCACCTTGAATTCTATATGTAAAAATGACTTGAGCCCTGCAATTTCGACTGAATCATTCCCACTAATGAGAATGTCGTCCACATATACTGCAACAATGGATGTCAAATTGCCCTGTCATTTAAAAAATAAGGAATAGTCATTCATGGAAGAAGAATAACCTTTGAAACTCAAAGCACTAGCAAGCCAAGCATACCATTGCCGTGTAACTTGATTAAGCCCATACAGAGATTTTTGGAGGAGGCACACATGGTTAGGACTAGGAGGAGATAGACCAGCTGGAAACCTCATATAGACTTCTTCTTGTAGGTCCCCATGTAGGAAAGCATTGCTGATATCTAGTTGATAAATAGGCCAATCCTTTTTGGTAGCCACTGCTAGAAAACATCTTATGGTGGTCATTTTGACTACGGGTGAAAAGGTTTCTATGTAATCAATACCCTCTCTTTGTATAACCCCCCTCATGACCAATCTAGCTTTTAATCTCTCTATAGCACCATCAGAATTGTGCTTTACTTTGTACACCCATTTATAGGGTAAAGCCTTTTTGCTTGGTGGTAATGGAACCACATCCCAAGTGTGATTCCTTTCCAAAGCTTCAATTTCAGAAAGCATAGCTTGTTTCCATCCAAGATGTGCAAAAGCCTGTGAAAAACTAGTAGGTTTTGAGATAGCTGAGATGGATTGTATAAGGTCTTGCTTATGATGAGATAAGGCTGTAAATGAATAGACAGTAGGGTTACTAGGTTGAGCAAAACAAGAGAAGGTGAGGTCTGTTAGATACACATTGTTGCATATGTAGTCATTGAGGTGTGTGGGCAGTTTGGAGACCCTAATGGATGTTCTAAGTGCTGGTGAAGGTAGGTGAGAGGGGGAAGAACTGGAAGGTGTGTGTATAGGAGGTGGGGAAAGGGAGAGTGAAGAGGAGGAAGATGGACTGAGGTGAGAGGGAGAAGGAGAGGGTGAAAAAGGAGAATCAAAACCTAGTGCAACATATAGAACAAGTTCAGTGGGCAAGTGAGCAGGTGGGGAAATAGCAGAGTTGACTTTTGCAGGAATAGGATAGGGAAAAATGGGGGTGGAGTTGAACTGATTGAGGCAAAGGGATATTTGTCTTCATGAAAGACCACATCTCCAGACACAAGAATCTTCCTGGTATCTAGGTCCAAAACTTTGTATCCTTTTTGTCCTAAAGGATATCCCAAGAACACACAAGCTTTTGCCCTAGGCTCAAACTTGTTTCTTCCACTAGACAGTGTGGACACATAACAAAGACATCCAAAACTTTTAAGAAATCTGTAGGCAGGCAACTTATTGAATAGAATGTAGTAGGGTGTCTGTCCTTGTAAAACTTTAGAAGGCCACCGATTGATTAAGTATATGGCAGTCAATAAACATTTACCCCAGTAACAGATAGGAACCTGTGATTGGAACAATAGAGCCCTAGCTATTTCCAATAGATGTTTGTGTTTCCTTTCAACAATGCCATTTTGTTGAGGGTTCCCACACAACTTGTTTGATGAAGAATGCCTTGAGAAAGCAGAAATGCTACTTTTTGTGAACCCTTCCCTAATTCAAATGCATTATTAGTCCTTAATTTCTGCACTTTAACCCCAAACTGTCTTTCAACCATGATGAAAAAATTCTTTAAAACTGCAAATGCATTCCCTTTTGTACTCAGCAAAAAGGTTCAGGTACCTCTACTAAAGTCATCCACTATAGTTAAAAAATATTTGAAACCATTGTAGGTAAGTACCTTGTAAGGACCCCAGGTATCAACATGTATCAACTCAAATATTCTTTTTGATGTTATTTGACTTAAAGGAAAAGAAAATCTAGTTTGCCTAGCTCTAGGACACACATCACAAAAACAATCAGAATTAGAAGAGATTGAAATAAAATTGAACTGTTTCATTACATGGAAAGGCAATGCCCCAATCTATTGTGCCAAAGATTTACATTAGAGATTCCACTTTCAGAAATAGGAAAGGAAACTGAAACTTGACTGACATCATTGTGATTAGAAAATGAAACTATATTATTATGCAATGAAACTGTAGACAAAACCTATTGACAAATAGAAGGTTATATCTAAAGCTAGGGACATGCAAAACATTTTCCAGAATGTATTCTGGAGATATAAAAATTCTGCCTGCATAAGTGACTGTTAGCTTGAAGGAATTGGGAAGATTAATATGCAGAGGAGAAGGTAAATGAGTTAGAGATAGAAAAGCATTAGAGTCAAAGCACATGTGTTCTGAAGCCCCTGAATCAATAATCCAAGTACTAGAGTTAAAAACTAAATAACAGGAGCCAGTATATTTAATAATAGTACCAGCCATAGCATGTGCATTGATCTCTAGATTAGAACTTCCTGCATCACTAACCTTGACTTGCTTGATTAGCTGCACTAACTGTAAGAATTTGTCATTGGAAAGGTGTTGAGACAAAGGCTCACTGCAGTTGTTATTGTGTTCTTCTGTTGTTTCAGCTGAAAATGCCCCATTTCCCCTAACTTGAAACTGGCTTCCTTTGGTATTGGTAAACTCAAAATCCTCAGGGAAACCTATGATTCTATAGCAGTCATTGATTGTGTGCCCTATCTTCTTGCAATAGCTACAAGATACATTGGGATTGAATTTGGTTTTCTTTCCCTTGAAGGTTGGATTCTTCTGTGCTAGATTTCTTGTTTTCTGCATATGATTCTTCTGGATTTGTCCAAAATTCCTTTGTGTCTGTTTTTTATTTTTTTGTGGATAATTACTTTGAGCCATAAAATTACCTTTATTTCCCACCATGAAAGATGATGAATCAGCAGAAATTAGAGAGTTTGCATAGATTTCTCTATGGTTTTCATCTTGTAGAATCAAAGAATAGGCATGATTGATGTTGGGCAAAGGGTTCATCATCAAAATATTTCCTCTAGCTTGTTCATAACAATCATTCAATCCCATGAGGAATTGAATGAGCCTTTCATCTTCTAAGGACTTTTCTAACTTTTCCTTTCCCTCACAAACACAAGTGCATAGACACTTGACATCTCAATTCAGAGAATCTAGCTCATCCTATAAATGTTTGAGTTTGGTAAAGTATCCTACTATGTCAGTTGTTCCTTGAACTAACCCTGATAATTCTTTGCGCAGGTGATAGAGTTTGGCACCATTTGACTGTCCAAACCTATGTTCAAGACTATTCCACAAATCCGTGGCAGATTTTTAGTAAATAACACTGTCTCCAATGTCTTTGGAGAGGGAGTTTAGAAGCCAGGAGGTGACCATGTCATTGCATCTAGTCTAAGGCTGAAAATCCTTGGAAGTAACAGCTGGAGCTGGGCATGTTCAATTGATGAAGCCTAACTTATTCTTGGCTGAAAGTGCAATTAGCACAGACCTCCTCCATCCTTGGAAACCTCTACCAGTGAAGATTGCATTCACCAAAGTCATTCCAGGTGCATCAGAAGAATGGAGGAAGTAGGGAGGGATTGGATCGAAGGTTACTGCATTTCCAGATCCATTTTGGGTGATAGTAGTTTAAGTGTTGTCAGGCATGATGATGAAGATGAAAAGAAAAAATAAGATAGAACAAAGAGAAGAATGGATCGAGCTTCACTGCTATGATACCATAAAAAATTGTAAAAGAAGAAGACAAAATTTAGGAATTTTCTCTGTATCTTCCATTGTGGAATCATCAGCCTATATATACAAGTTATCCTGAGAAAGAATAAAAGAATGTACACTTGTCTAAATCCTATATTCTGTGAGAATAACTAACTAACCACTATTATTCTTTAATTTGCTTATTCACATATCTCACACATGTGAGAATAATCTGATGAATAAAATAGAAAAAGAAAAATCCTCTAATCTGGACGGTGAGGATTTGATCTATCATGTGCCATGTGATTTGCTGAGGGAGCTCCACGTGTAAATTCTAATTGTGTAAAAGAATCCTTCTCATTTCTAGATAACTCCGAAGACCTTTGCTTTGTCTGAAAACCAGTGTCTTCCTTCTTCTTCAATTGAACATTCCTTTCCCTTGTTTCTCTGATCAATCGAGGGAAAATTAGAGGAGGAATTAGATAGTGAGGAGTTCTTCTTCTCAACATAGACAAATTGCTGATGTAGGTCATCAGTAATTTGAATGCATATTATCGGTTTCTCTTAGTTAAATTAGAGTTTTGTTTAATTGTAAAATATTAATTTTATTTACCAGAGGCAAGAAAATAGAAAGTTAGATGCTATGATACATGAGCTAACGCTTTTGATTAGTTGAAATCTTTAAAAGAAGGGAAAGATATTTAGGGGAAGAGGGTGCGGAGTGAAGACTGATTTTTGTTTAAAAATCATAAAGAATATGATTTGGTTGGAGCTGAACGTGATGGTCGTTTGTTATTTAAAGCAAAACTTTAGAATAATAGATCACTTGGTTAAGAAAATTTTAATTGTTGCAACTAGCTTGTAGTCATTAAAAGAGATAATTGAGACCGAATTTTATCACTTTGAATTTTGTAACAACAACAAATATGCTCCCTTTGTGAATTTATGAACATAGATCTTGTTATTCATGGTTTGAAGGAGAACCGCTCAATGACGAACATAGATCTTGTTATTGGTTCTTCTCCTTTTGATAGTGGTGTTTGCATTCCCTCGAATAAAAATGGTACTCCCCACCTTCAAAAAGATTGTCTTAGTTTGACTTGCATAAATTTTAATAAAGAGGAAATACTTTTGAGATATATGGTCTTAAAATATAAGTCATAGCATTTGTGTGACGGTAAAACTTTTAAAACTTGTAGTCTGAAACTTGCCATAGTATTTTTGTGATTATAAATGTTATCTTTTCTATTGAAAGATGCCAATCTTTTTGGAACAATCTAATAAGAAAATAGTTCCAATCATTTTGTAAAGGAGAGTATGAATTACGCTTTGCTGCTTTGAGTAGATACATTTAGACTCTTCTCGGAGCTCTCTCATTATAATTTTTTCTAGCAATTACCTACTAATGATGAAAGAGGCCTCAAACTGAGTAAAGACTGATCCATAATTTGTTACTTTTAAAAGGGTAAATTCTTCTCATAGCTATCCCATCACATTTGGTTAAGCCTCGACATATGTATTTCTAAAAGACGAAGTTTTGTCTATAAATAAGAACAAATATTGTTTCTTTCTTGAGGTTTTCTCCTAATAGAACTAATTTAGAATACATTCTTGCTATATTCTAAATTAATGTTTTGTCATAAATCCAGAAATTTCAAATTAATTAGAATGAGTCAGTTTATAAGAATATACTATTCAGTATGTATGAACATCAAATATAAGATATTTATACATAGTGCCACGGGACATAAAAGTTTAGCATGACAATCCAGGGTTACTAATAAACAGCTAATAATAGGTAAGGTCGCATATATGCTTAAATAATTTGATCATATGGGGGGCTATGTGATGACCCAAAAGGTCATCACTTATTTTAGAAATGAATTTTGCGTTCCGAGGCCTTAAAAACCCCTTTCATCATTACCTTGATTTGCATGCGCAGTCTGTGAAAAATGATGAATTTTGACTTTAAAATGAATTAGTTTGACTTCGGTCAACATTTTAGGTAAACGAATCCGGACCCGTAATTTGACGGTCCCGGAGGGTCCGTAGGAAAATATGGGACTTTGGCGTATGCCCGGAATCGATTCTGAGATCCCAAACCCGAGAAATGAATTTTTAAAGAAAATTATTTTCTGGAATATTATTGAGTTTTTGGAAGTGAGATGTGTTTAAACCTTGATGGTATCGGGCCCGTATTTTGGTTTCGGCGCCCGGTACAGGTCTTATATGTGATTTAAGATAAGTCTGTGAAATTTGGTAATAAACAGATTTGAGATGACGTGAATCGGATCGTATTTGAGAAAATTGAAAAATTTGAAGTTCTTAATAAATTTCATGATTTTGATGTTAAATTCATAGTTGTTGATGTTATTTTAGTGATTTGAATGCACGAGCGAGTCCGCGGGATGCTTTTAGGTTGGTGTGCATGATTAGTTTGGAGCCCTGAGGGCTCGGGTGAGTTGTGGATAGTCCACGAGGTGGATTTTGGACTTGAAAAATTGCAGGCTTCAGCTATTTAAATGCGAAGGCTGAGTCGCAAATGCGAAACAGTCCAGATCAGCCCTTCCTCGCAAATGCGAGATTTTCCTTCGCAAATGCTATTAACCTGCCCAGGCAAACGACCAGCTCCCATGAGAGTGTGGTACATAGATCCTGCCCAGGCGAATGGCCCGATCCCATTAGAGTAGTAGAAGGAAATACTCCGCTCGCGAATAATACGTGCGATGAGATCAAATATAAATTTAAGGAATCACCTCGCTCGCGGATCATACTTGCGACACGGTCAAATATAAATTTAAGGAATCACCTCGCTCGCGGATCATACTTGCGACACGGTCAAATATAAATTTAACATTAAAATCATATCTCTTTCTTTATTCTTTTTGAAATAAGGGAAATTCAGCTTGTAGCGTTTTAAGGAAATTACCCTGCTCACGAATTATACATGCGACGCAGTTACTCATAGATTTCTTAAGCTACTATATTATCTCTCAATTCTTTTCAAAAATAAGAAGTTTGATAAAAACTATTAAAATCTTAAATTCCTCAATTCAAATTCCTTTCAACACAAAGATTACGCAACCTTAATCTTGTTTCTTCTCAAGACATACAATAAACATAAATTAACAACAATATAACAAGGCATGATGTGAGCCTAAAACTACTCGGATATAGGCATAGCTAGTAGCTACGTACAGACTCTCATCACCTCGTGCGTACGTAGACTCTACAAATAGGAGCACATAATAATTTAGTTCACCAATGGGATTAATTCCCTCCTACAAGATTAGAAAGGAGACTTGCCTCGCTCCGAAGTTCCATAACCGGCTCCCAAGCTCTTCCGACAACTCAAATCGATGCACGACGCTCCGAAACTAGTCAATAATTATGCAAATCCATAAATATATACTCAAATACTCATAATGATTCAATTTATAACAATTTCTAACCCTAACCGAAAAGTCGATAAAAATCACCCTCCGGCCCACGTACCTAGATTCCGAAATTTTCGAAGATAAAGTTTACCCATACCTCACGAACTCAAATATATAATTTATGTACAATTCCATGCTCAAATTCGTGGTAAAAATCCCAAAATACCAAGTTCTAGGTTTTTCTTCAAAATCCCAAATTCTTACTAGTTTTCATACCCCAAATGCATATATAATCCAAGTATTTAACTTGCAATAGGTAGAAATCACTTACCTTGACATAGATGACGGAAATCTCCACTTGAAGCTCTCCAAAAATCGTCCAACCAAGAGAGAATGGAAGAAAAATAGGCCAAACCTCCGTTTTAAAGAAACCTCACTGCATCCAGCATTTTCGCACCTGCGATGCATAGGCCACTTCTGAGGCGCTTGTACTGCTTCTGCGGCTTGAGCCGCTTTTGCGATGGCTTGCGCCTTCGTAGATGCGGTCTCTGGTCCGCTTCTATGGTCACTGGCCTACCCTTTCTAGTCCGCTTCTGCAAGTCCTTTCCCGCACCTATGGGCTCGCACCTGCGGCCCTCTTCACGCAGGTGCAGTTACACCAGAAGCCCAGCTGCTTAAGTTCTTCCTCAACCACAAATTTCAACCCGTTAATCACCCGGAATTCACCCGAGGCCTCCGGAACCTCAACCAAATATACCAACACGTCCCAAAACACATCATGAACTCAATCGAGCCTCCAAATCCCATAAAACAATATTGAAATCACGAATCACAATCCAATTCAAGCTTAATGAACTTTAAAACTTCAAACTTCAACATTCGATGCCGAAACCTAACAAATCTCGTCTGATTAACCTCAAATTTTGCACACAAGTCGTATTCGATATTACAGACCTGCTCCAACTTTCGGAATTGGAATCC